TTAATCAAGGACACGACTTCAGGAAAAGAGTAAATGATAGAGCTGACAGGATGTCCTTTGCCAAACAGCAGGTCAGACATTTTTAGTGAGGACCTGCTTTGTGCCAGGCATGTGCCTACGTGGTTTGGGTTCAGCTTGTTTTCCCAGTGGCCCCAGGGAAAGGACTCTGAGGACGCACACTCTGCCCAGGGCATTTGTTCCTGTGAAGCTGTGCAGGCCTGGCCTCTCTGGGAAGTCTTAGTGTGGATGCACTCTAAGTCTAGGATGTGCTTTACGAGCAGGAATCTCTGGGTTCAAGTGCCTCCCCCTTTAGAAGGACTAGTGTTGCCCCAGCCCATATCCCTGTGATGTCACCCACCTGGTTCTGTGAACGTGTGCATGTGCAACCATCAATAATGGTAGCATGAGTTATGTATTTCTTTTTTTTTAATATATTTTTATTGATTTCAGGGAGGAAAGAAGAGATAGAAATATCAGTGATGAGAGAGACTCATTGATCGACTACTTCCTGCATGCACCCCAGCGGGGATCAAACCCAGGCATCTGCTCCAACCTCCTGGTTCATAGGTCAAAGCTCAACCACTGAGCCACACCGGCTGGGCTGATTCATATATTTCTGATTGGCAGATAATAAACAGCTGCTTTTCCTTTTTGGGTTGCTCTCATTAAAATTTTGTGGCCACTAGAGGGCAATACAGATTCAATTTTTTTTAAACACAGTTATTTTAAAAACATTACACATACTTAAAAATATGTAAATAGTTTCCATAACTACATATTATATATTTATGTGCAACCATATATAGAGAGAAGCCTTTTCAAAATGAGGACAAGGCTGATCTATAACATGCCACTTCTCTCGTTAGTGTGGTCAAGTGTAAAGAATAGCCCTAGTGGGTCTGGCACTGAAGGGTGCCAGGTTTGATTATGATCAAGTGTACATTACCTGGGTTGAAGGCTTAATCCCCAGTAGGGTGTACGCAGGAGGCAGCTTATCAGTGATTATCTCTCATCATTGATGTTTCTATCTCTTCCTCTCCCTTCCTCTCTGAAATACATATATATGTGTGTGTGTGTGTATCTATCTATATATCTATATCTATATATAAATCTATATCTATATCCATATCCATATCTATATCTATATAGATATGGATATGGATATAGATATATGGATGTGGATATGGATATGGATATACATTTTTAAGAATAGATGAGCCCTGACCGGTTTGGCTCATTGGATAGAGTGTCAGCCTATGGACTCGAGGGTCCCAGGTTTGATTCCAGTCAAGGGCACACCTTTGGCACATACCCAGTAGGGGGTGTGCAGGAGGCAGCTGATCGATGATTCTCTCTCATTGATGTTTCTAACTCTCTATCCCTCTCCCTTCTTCTCTGTAAAAAATCAGTAAAATATATTTTTTTAAAAATAGAGGAGACTCCATCGGTCCTCAGCAGAGACCTGAGGCCAGAGTAAGTCACCACCTCCCCTTAGAGCAGTGATTCTCAACTTTTCTAATGCCGCGACCCTTTAATACAGCCCTCATGTTGCGGTGATCCCCAACCATAAAATTATTTGCTACTTCATAACTGTGATTTTGCTACTGTTATGAATCGTAATGTAAATATCTGTGTTTTCCGATGGTTGAGGTAAATAATGTCCTCTGCTTAATGACTTTATCTTTGAGTTTGTGTTTTGTAAGTGAAATGTGATGGGACAATGAAGTATATAAGGGGACGTGAAGCCTCAGCCCACACATGGCCTACCGCTGGGCCCCAGGCTGGGTCCTGGGCCGCCTGCTCTCTGGCTCGTTCCCCTAGGCCTAGGGCAATGCCAACAGTGAGATAAGGGGGGTAACCACCCCAGCATTCTGGGAGAGTTCTAAACAGCACTCAGGGAGGCACAACAGGGCTGGAGACCAGAGAGAGTGAGGAGTGCTGGAAAATTTGTCCAGGGAGGAAAGCAGGGGCCAGCATAGAACCAAAGAGTTCTCCTAACTCTGGCAAGGAAGACTGCGGACACCGATGGAATTATAAAAGGTTCAGCACATCCCTCAAGATTTAGCGTGTTTGTGGTCCATGGCTTCTTGGTGGATGCTTCCAGATGATCAAGCACCTGTGCAGTAAGAAATTACCTTTGATCTAACTACTAATGAGCTCAAGGTAGCATGAACCATATCAGCTCTTGGAGAAATAGAGATTTTAAGAGAAATGCAGAATCAGATGACAGTTGCAAGATAATAAAAATTCAGCTTTCTTTTTCATTAATAATTTAAAAGATTCATAAACTCCTATGACTCAACTGAGAATTCTCCAACGTCTATAAACTGGTGTTATTGTTGATCGTATTATAAAAAAGAAAGCAGTAGTAAGTTTATATAGTTTAACATATTTTAAATAACTAACTTGAACTGGGAAGGAATCCACCTTCCCCTGAATTTACACAAAGTACCCGTTTTCTACCAAAATTCAATTAAATTATGAAAGTAATCTTTTAAAATTTCCTTGTATGTTTGTGATGGTAAACATTATGAGAAAACATTTTGATTTGAGTTGTGTAGCTAAATCTAATATCCAGGGCTTTTCATTTTATTTCTCAAAATTCTAGAGAACCTAGGGAAATACCAACAAATGATAAAGTTATCATGGAAGCATAAATTGAAAAGCTTACCTAGAATTACAAAAAAGAAATTCATAATGCTTCTACCTACCCCTGCTGTTTTCACAACCAAGTTTTTCTTGAACAAATATTAAAAACTCTTTTTTTGTATCAAGTAACCAATGTCTGAGGAGTAAATCTCAAATTCAACTTGAGAAGAAAAGAACTACTGTATAGAAGCTTTCCAAAGCTAGAAAGACTTAACTACATATTGACATATAATGGTGTTTATAAATTTTGGAAGCACCCAAAGTGCCTAGAAATAAAAATAAAAAAAATTAAATAAATCATCATATGAAAAAATATGCAGTTATTTAAATTATATTGTGAAATAGTACTTCATGGCATGAGACAATGTTTGTGATTTATTAAATAAAAAGAATCAATTATACATATGTTGCATAAGACCACAGTTATAGTCAGTTTTGACCTGGCCAGCATGGCTCTATGGTTGAGTGTCAACCTATGAACCAGGAGGTCATGGTTCAATTCCTGGTCAGGGCACATGCCTGGGTTGCAGGCTCAATCCCCAGTGTGGGGCATGCAGAAGGAAGCCAATCAGTGGTTTTCTCTCATCATTAATGTTTCTATCTTTCTCTCCCTCTCCCTTCCTCTCTGAAACAATATTTTTTTTTTAAATAAAGGGATGGAGAAAGATGTACCTTTCTAATATAATCAAAACAAATCTGGAACAGCTAGTTAATTCCAGACAAAGCCAACTTCAGAACAAGGAAAAATATCAGGGATAAGGAAGGGTGTTAATGATTAAAAGGTCAATTCTCCAAGACGACATAGCAATCCTTAACCTGTCTGCACCCAACAACAGAGCATCAAAATACAGGAGGCAAAAACTGATGGAACTGCCAGGAGAAAGGGCAAAGAGACTATTATAGTTGGAGACTTCTAAATGACAGATGCAGCAGGCAGAAAATCAGTAAGGACAAGGTGAGCTGAACAGCACCATCAATCAACTGGATTTAACTGATCCTTGTAGAATCCTTCATCCAACACCAGCAGAATACATTCTTCTCATATGGAATAATCACCAAGATAGACCACCTCCTAGCTCATAAATCACACCTTAGCAAATAGAAAATAGAAATCACACAAAGTATGCTCTCCAACAACATGAACTTAAATTAAAAATTAATTATGGAAAGATAACTGGAAAATCCCCAATTAGTTGGAGGCTAAATGACACACTTATAAATAATACATCGGTAAAATGGGAGTCTCGAGAGCAATTTTAAAATGTTTTTAAGGAAGAAACATCGAAATACAACTTATCAAAATTTGTGGGGTACGTGAAAGCAGTGCTCAGAGGGAAGTGTAAAATGGGACAGCCACTCTACTGTGGGAAGGAATTTGGCGATTAAAACAAACACGAAAATATGCCACTCCCATTGGATGCAGCAACTGCACTCCTGGGAATTGCATCCCGAACAGATGAAAATTTACATCCACACAAAATCCTGCCCTCAAATGTTTATCGCAGCTTAACGTATGACAGCCACAACCTGGAAATGGCGCAGCTGTACTTGCGGTGGAATGATTAAACTACCGATGGTACAGCCATTCAGCCACACCACGGAAAACTACTCAACAATAAAAAGAAACACTTGATATGTGCGACACCCTGGATGCATCTCCGGAGACTTACGCTGAGTGAAATGCCGATCTCAAAAGGTCACATAAAGTATCGTCCCACTTATAGAACATTCTTGAAATGACGCAATTATAGAAATGGAGGACAGGTGACTTGTCAGGGGCTCAGGAGGGGGTGGTGGTGGGAGGGAAGTGGGTGTGGCTATAAAAAGGCACATTCGGTATCTTTGTGGTGATGAAAATGTTTTGTATCTTGATTGTATCCAGGTTGTGACATAGAGGCAAAGAGACAAAGGTACAAGGGCTCTCTCTATTCGCGTTATTTCTTACAACTGCACGGGAACCTGTAATTATTTCAAAATTGGAAGTTTAGCTTAAATGATAGGACCGTGGGTCACATTGGGTATACACATTTATCTGTAGCCTTAAGACCTGTGCGTTTTGTTGCATGTAAATTTCATCTCAATTTTTTAAAAAAATGATGTAGCCTCTTTCCCGCTAACTGACTGCTTTTCAATAAACCAGGGCAAAAGATGATCATAAGAATTTGAGGTAAAACTTGCACATTATACTGTAATTTCTCATAAATTCTTCTTTTGTGTGCTTCTTAAGAGACTTCCTTGAGTCAGCCTAACTTTAATAGAGCTCAATTGATATTATTTCTACTTTCCAATCATTTATAGTCTTGCCTCCAATTTGGGTAACATTGTTTAAAGTATATCCAGGCTGGTCCGAGTGCAGTGGTGTCTTACAACTAATTGATCACAGCCAGTTACAGATTTCTTTGTTCCCTCTCCACTCCCGCTGCTTCACTTGACTAGCCTCAAATACATACATACATACATAAATTTTATAAAATTAAAAAAATAATAAAGTATATCCAGGAAGATTCCTTAACATATTGAGTAAGCTTTCTTTTATTTTGTCACTTGTATTATTAGATATATTTATGGAACAATGGCAGTGGCTTATTAGGAGGTGGAAAGTTTCATAAAGAAATCATTTAATATTATGAAACAAAACTTCAAGCTATCCCACAAAGTTCTATATAATGCACCATAGTAATTTAATTACAACATTTACAAACTGTGAAACTTAAAACTTTAATAAGCAAAATAAATTAGAAAACTAAACTTGCTGGCTGAAAACAATTTTTATAAATGGTCCCTAATCATTTTACAAAAAGCTTCGTTTTATTACCTAACTAGTAACTTAAATTTTTTTTTTTTGAAACTTAGTTCTTTACAGAATCTTTACTTAAAAGATGATATTTCCAGAGCATTTGAGATCTTGCTCCACAGGATGTCCTCCGTTTGGCTCAAATAAACTCTTATATGTGATTGTCAAAATTTATTTTTATTCAGTCTCCATAGATTGTCAAAAATTGCCAGTGCCAACTATGTTTCAAGTCATCATGGCAAGGTTTCAAGAAGTTTCCAATTAGCAATAATCATGGCTCAGATTAATCTCATTGGTTACGATACTACCACTGTGTAAAGCTTATCAGAATATTTTTTACGATTTTTTATAATCTAGCCAGAGGAAATATTTATATTTAACATGAATGTATTTCCCATAAGTATCTGGGAGTGTTAGAATCATAGAATATTGAAACTAGAAGGTCCTGAAAAAAATTTTGTTCAACCATCTCAATATATATAGGAGGAAACTCTTACCCAAGGACACAAACTTCCAGTTAATGTGCACTCAGTAAGTATTTATTTAGCGCCCTCTACTGGAAAGTCCTGTTAGATTGGCCAGGGACACAGCAGTGAATGAAAGGAGGGGAAAACTCCTAATCTCAGAGTCTATATAATCTAGTGAGGGGAGAAAGACAAATATGTGAAATACATAACCCAACAGCTGGACAAATATGCTATGAAGGACAATGAAGCAGAAAAGGGGAAGTGTTGCAGAAGGAAACTAATTTTGAGCATACGGTGGTCTGAGAAGGTCTCAATGACCCAGGAGGAAAGGGGAGGGTCACATGAGTAGATGAGGAGTTTTCTGGGCAGAGGCAACAGCCAGCCAAAGGTCTGAGGGAGACGCATACTTGGCCTGTTCCAGAGACAGCATGGAGGCTGGAGTGGCTGGAGCGGAGCAGAGCTGGGAAATGGAGATGATATCCTGCTGGAGTTGAGAAGGGGCTTGCAGGCCTTTGTAAGGACTTGATTTTCATCATATAAGAAACGGGAAGCTCTTGAAGGTTTTTGAGTAGCGGAGTGACCTACCTTAACTTTGGTTCACGTGGAGAGAAGACAGGGAGACAAGAACAGAGACCAGTTAAGAAGCTATAAATTAACCCAGAGGAGAGGCGACACTGTGGGACCAGGATGGTAGATATGGAGCTTGTGAGAAAGGGTTACATTTTTAAAGGAAGAACCCGGAGGGAGTAAATGGCAGAGGTAGGGCAGGACCCAGGTTTCTGGTGCCTTTTTTTTTTTTACACCATGTTGCTGAGTTAACTTCCAAGAGAATATTTACAAGAAACAATTTGATTTCTGTGTTACAATTAAGGACGAGAGTTGCAGTGTTTAGTATGCAGCTAAGCACAGCTCACACGCTTGGTGAGACTCTTTCTCTGCTATGAGGATCAGCTGGCCGAGCAGATGCGCAGTCATAGATGATGGGTAACTGTAAGTGCCAACCTGATGGGCCACGGGGTGCCCAGATGCAACATTATTTCTGGGTGTGTCTTGGAGGGTGTTTTCAGGTGAGGTTAGGATTTGAATCGGCAGGCTTTGTAAAGTGACTGTCCTTCCAGTGGGAGTGGGCCTCAGCCAATCCGCCTCGGGCCAGACTAGAGCAAAAGGTGAGGAAAGAGGAATCTGATCCTTTTTCTCCTGCACAGGACGATGCTCCAACCAACTGAGCCACACCAGCCAGGATTATTTATTTACTTTTTAATATATTTTTTGTTGTTGATAGTATTACAGATATCTCCCATTTTCCTAGGTGCTTTATTTTTAAAGAAGTTTTATTTGTATAAGAAACAAGATAAATTACATAGTTTTAAAAATTACATATAAGGACACTACAGGAATAGCCTCTAGACACTACTGTTGGCTGGTTCCAAAGCTCAAAAGGCCTCAGGTAATAACGTATCGGGTGAGTCCTCCCCCTCGGACCTCGGACAGCCGCCGGCAGTGTCGTAAGATATTCAGCATAACATGAAACCTCTTGTCAACTTTCAAAGCTGTGAACTCCTTTATGTCAGCTTCCACTACAAAATAATGACCTGCAAATAAAGATATTTGTGCTAATTTTTATAAGGACAACTTTAAGATGAGTCTTTGTGACTATGAATGGCACTAATCATGTTTACTATCATTATCCAACTAAAGTGAGAAACAGTATTCTTGCTAAAATAACAATTATTCTTTCAACTGAAGTTGCATAATGTTTACTGTAGCATTTCAGTAATGTAGCCCTGCTTATTGTATCACTAGCTATCTGTTGCTATCTTTTGAACAATTCACTTTTTAAGAGCTAATTTGAGATGGAGACCCTCAGCAGCTCTATCACTTGAGTGGCTGAACTTGGACAAGTAACTTGGGCTCTCCTTTGCCTGGTCTGTAAATGGAGTAGTGGTGGACGTGATGAGGACTGAAGCTCCCTTGGTATACCATCTGGCACACAGGAAGTGCTATATAAGCATGACCGACTGTTATGGTTACTATTCTAATTCTGGACACACTGGTTTTAGTTCCATAAAAACTCTAAATCAGTTTTTCTCAGCCTCAGCACTACTGACATTCTGGGTGACATAATTCTTTTTTGTGGGAGCTGTCCTGTGTGTTGGCGGGGACTTTAGCAGCATCCCTGGTCTCTATCCACCAAATGCCAACTCAAACCCCAGTTGTAGCAACCAAAATGTCTCCAGAGATGGCCAAATGTCCTGAGGTGGGAAAATCACCCCCAGTGGAGAATGAACTCTCTAAATTTAAAATGTTCTAGAATTAGTTTTGTTTCTCATGATTTATTTACACTCCATACAGATGGCAAGTATACACATACGTATATGCTGTCATCTTACCTTTGGTATCCTTTGTTTCTTCATCCATGAATCTGTGATAGAGATTTCTGGCCACAGAACTCATAGACTTTTTTGGTTGATGTAGGATCTTATATTTACTAACTACTGCCTTGTTGATTTCTTTAATAACATCATTAATTTGACAATAGGTTAAGCGGGATTTCATGTACCTGTAAATAAGTAGATGATTAATGTTTTTTTTAATTATTTTGCACAAAATGTTTTCTTTGAAAAATATTTATGATGTTGTACTTAATCTTCTTATTTCTTATTCATCAAATAACCCCTTAGTTTAAAAATTAATACTCTACCATTTAATTTCCTTCTTTTATTTCTTTATGAAAGCATTTTCTAAAAACCCTTCTACTCCACAGTTCTTCCCTATAGTTCAGGCAATGAGCAACAACAATTCAAAAAACTGAACAGCTCAAACAGAATTTCATGAAAACAAAGTTGTCAATAAAGGAAAAGATTGAGTGACCAACTCCCCGAAGATTAGAGAGAAATGTCAGCCTCCTTATTCATCCCAGAATTATCCAACAGCCAGTATTTTTCAAGTCGCCATTAAGCATGTGGAAAGATGCTCAACATCGTATGTCATTAGGAAACTGAAAATTAAAACAAGATACCACTGCACACCTATGAGAATTGCTAATTGCTAAAATAGAAAAAATTGAACAAGCTGATGCAGGTAAGGATGTGACGCGCTGGTAAAGCTCACTCATTGCTGGTGGGAATGCACAATGGCCCAGCTGCCATTTGGAAGTCAGTTCGGCAGTTTCCCCCAAAGTGAAACACACTCCTCCCGTAGGATCTAGCAACCTCACCCTTAGAAATAACGGTTCAGTGAAATTTCTCTTAGGCAAGTCTATTCTGTAATTCCTCGCTTCCTTGAGCTAAAGATCTAGGAGGAAAATATCTGGGACACAGCATGATTATTTTACTTTCCTGAGAGCTGTCTATATCAGTTGTAGTTGTTTTCGTAATAATAAAAAGACAACCAATTATATATGTGAAATTAAATAAAATCTATAAGGAAATACTCTATCAGAGTAGAATTATAATCATTTTCGACAACAAATATTTTCTAACTACATCTATATTATAAAAACTCAGTGGCCCTAACACCGTAACAACCAAAGACCAGCACAGGTGGGTGGGACTGTGCACGTGGTGAAGGGTGCACAGGTGGACAGGTCTGCAAGTGCAGCAGGGCAAGCACAGGTGGGCCAGGCTGCACGATTTCGCGTGCTGGGCTTCTAGTGTGTTATAAAATAATAATGAAAAAAGTAATGATATAAAGCCAAGAAGCGAAGTGAAGCCCTGAAATTATGAGAGTTTAAAAACACAATTCCCATAACTCAGTGGTCAGCAAACTCATTAGTCAACAGAGCCAAATATCAACAGTACAACAATTGAAATTTCTTTGGATAGCCACATTTTTTAAGCTTAAACTTCTTATAACACCACTTCTTCAAAATAGACTCGCTAAGGCCATGGTATTTTGTGGAAGAGCCGCACTCAAGAGGCCAAAGAGCTGCATGTGGCTCGTGAGCCGCAGTTTGCCGACCACAGCCATAACTGGTTTCCCACAGCTATCAACTGTAAAGCGCAAAGGAGACCTGCCTCTAGGCGAGGCATGTTGTGTTATTCACCCGTTTTCTCCCAGAGACCCAGGCCCAGAATAGAGCCCAGACTCAAATGTAAGCGTGTGACGTAAGTTACGGGACAAATGGAAAGACAAACACAACACCCTCCATTCTAACCTCAAATCTAAACAACACGCTTGCTTTACGAATCACAGCAAAACTGAGGCTAATGTCTAAAATGTACGGGGATGAGTCTAAATCACAAAATGATCCTGGAGAGGATGCAGCAACAAACTGACCCTTCTCTGAATCTCTACGTGATTTTAAGCATTTCAACAAGAGCTTCCCTGCATTTTCATAGTCCAATACAAAGCTGTTTTAGAAAAGATCATCTGAACACAGCATATGATGATGAATATAATCCAGCCTTGTGACTTAAACAGTTATGTATGTTGATTATTAAAGAGCTGAATATTAACATAAATACTTACGCAGGAATGCTATTAAACTCCTCAGAGGTTATAAATGGCATCTCTTTAATATTCCTTTGCTCTTTAGAGGGCTTCTTTGTGACTGCAGGTTCCTCAACTTTGACAGGTTCTTCAGAGTCAAAATCTGATACATTTCCTCTGCAGAAGACAGATGCACAGCATATAGGCAATCGTCAGAACTGTACGCATACTGGGGAGAGATCAGTATCCAACACATGGTGCAGGTCACAGAACTCCAAAAACAAAAAGATGGACAACAAAATAAACCTGACAGGAAGAATCAGGGCTGAAGAGGGATTCTGACCTCTTTATAACCTCCAACAACCAGTTTCTGAAGCGTGGTAGAAGCCAGATGTTAACTGCTCTGGGAAGAGGCGGTACAAAC